GGAAGATTCCTCTATTGCATTCACGGGTCATTTAAAAGAGAAACTCTGTCTAGTTAATTTCACATTAAATAGAGTAAATCCCGAGACTTGTTTAATGGCAAAATCTAGCATGGGTTGGTTATGGCATCGCCGACTTGCCCATGTTGGGATGAGGAACTTGGCCAAACTTCAAAAAGACGAACACATCCTTGGACTAACAAATGTTTTTTTGAGAAAGATAGGATTTATAGCGCATGCCAAGCGAGAAAGCAAGTTGGAGCTAAACATCCCATCAAGAATATTGTGACAACCGAAAGGCCATTGGAATTGCTTCATATGGACATATTTGGACACGTCGCTTATATAAGCCTTGGTGGTAACAAATATGGTTTCATAATTGTTGATGATTATTCTTGTTTCACTTGGGTATTCTTTTTGTATGACAAGAATGAAGTACATGGCATCTTCAAGAAGTTTGCAAAAAGAGCCCAAAATGAGTTTGATGTCAAGATCAAGAGAATTAGAAGTGACAATGGGTCGGAGTTCAAGAACACCAACATTGAGGAGTTCCTTGATGAAGAAGGAATCAAGCATGAGTTTTCAGTTCCATACACTCCACAACAAAATGGTGTTGTGGAGAGGAAGAACCGAACGCTCATTGAAGCCGCAAGAGCAATGTTGGATGAATACAAGACTCCAACCAACTATTGGGCGGAAGCAGTTAGCACGTCATGTCATGCTATCAACCGCTTATATCTTCACAAGAAAAGGAACAAGACCGCCTACGAACTTCTAATCGGTAAAAAGCCTAAGGTGCACTTCTTTAAAGTTTTTGGATCCAAGTGTTTCATACTTAATAAGAAATCCAAAAGCTCAAAGTTTGCACTAAAGGTTGATGAAGGTTTCATGTTTGGTTATGGTACTAATAAACATGGATATCGTGTTTTCAATAAAACCACCGATTTGATTAAAATCATGGTAGACATGACTTTTGATGAAACCGACGGCTCTCAAAAGGAGCAAGTCAATGTTGAGATTGTAGGTAATGAAGAAGCTCCACATAAAGCCATCAAGAAGCTTGCAATTGGTGAAGTAAAGCCCATCGAAGATGATGATGATGACAATATTGTGCATGTTGATCTTGATCCAACCACTCATCATGTTTCATCCAATGAATATGGTGAAGCTTCCGCAACAAGAAACAATCAAGATGGGAGATCAAATGAAACACAAGGTCATTCTCATGAAGATGGTGTCAACAATAAGCAAGCTCAACCTCAACTCAACAATGAAGAAAGAAGTGAAGACAACCCTCTAATCTATCATGACCATGATGATGAAGATGATGGCCCCATCCAAAGATCAACTCAAGTGCCACATCCTAGAGTGCATCAATTGATTCAACGAGATCATCCCGTTGACAACATATTGGGAGCATCCGACGAGGGGTAACGACATGTTCTCATTTAGCAAGTTTTTGTGAACATTACTCGTTTGTTCTCCTTTAGAACCTTGTAGGGTGGAAGAGGCACTTGATGATCCAGATTGGATGATAGCAATGCAAGAGGAGTTGAACAACTTCACTCGGAATAAAGTCTGGTCCTTAGTGGAAAGGCCCAAGCAAAATGTGATTGAAACCAAGTGGGTCTTCCATAACAAGCAAGATGAGCATGGTGTGGTGACAAGGAATAAGGCAAGGTTGGTGACTCAAGGATTCACTCAAATTGAAGGCTTGGATTTTGGAGAAACCTATGCATCGGTGGATAAGCTAGAATTGATTCGTATTCTACTTGCCTATGCCGCTTGTCATGATTTCAAGCTATATCAAATGGACGTGAAGAGTACATTTCTTAACGGTCCCCTATCCGAGTTGATGTATGTAAAGCAACCACCGGGCTTTGAAGACCCCAAGTATCCCAACCATGTCTACAAGCTCGACAAGGCCCTCTATGGGCTCAAATAAGCCCCTAGAGCTTGGTATGATTGCTTGAAGGATTTCCTACTCAAATAAGGGTTTGAGATAGGAAAGGCCGATGCAACTCTATTTACTCGCAAAGTCAATAATGATATCTTTGTTTGCCAAATATATGTCGATGACATAATATTTGGTAGTACTAATGTGGTTTTTTGTGAGGATTTTAGTAGGATTATGACTAATAGGTTTGAGATGTCCATGATGGGAGAGTTGAAGTTCTTTCATGGATTTCAAATCAAGCAACTCAAGGATGGCACATTCATAAGTCAAACGAAGTACACCAATGATATGTTGAAGAAGTTTGACATGGACAAAGCCAAGCCCATCAAGACACCTATGCCAACCAATGGACATCTTGACCTTGATCAAGGAGGAAAGGATGTCGATCAAAAGGTATATCGCTCCATGATTGGATCCCTCCTTTACCTTTGTGCATCTAGGCCCGATATCATGCTTAGCGTACGCATGTGTGCAAGATTTCAAGCTAATCCAAAAAATGTCATTTGATGGCTGTTAAGAGAATTTTTTGGTATTTAGTGCACACTCCTAATCTTAGCTTGTGGTATCCTAAGGGCTCCACTTTTGAGTTACTTGGCTATTCCGATTTAGATTATGCCGGTTACAAAGTAAATCAAAAGAGTACTACAGGGACTTGCCAATTTATTGGTAGGTCCTTGATGTCTTGGAGCTCTAAAAAGCAGAACTCCGTTGCCTTGTCTACCGTTGAAGCCGAGTATGTGGCGGCCGGTGCATGCTGTGCCCAACTACTTTGGATGAAGCAAACCCTCAAGGACTTCGGATGTGAGCTAACCAAGATTCCCCTTTTGTGTGACAACGAGACTGCCATTAAGTTGGCAAACAACCCCGTAAACCACTCTCGAACAAAGCACATAGACATCCGGCATCACTTTTTGAGGGACCACAAAGCCAAAGGAGATATCGCAATTCACCATGTGAGCACCAAAAAGTAACTAGCCGATATCTTCACAAAGCCCCTAGGTGAGTCAAGATTTTGTGCTTTGAGAAGTGAGCTAAATATCATTGAGTCTCGTAACGTGGCTTGATGTCTTGCACATACTTTGATTGATCTAGATAGCAGAAAACATTTGCGAAAATATTGAGTGATACTTTCAAAATCTACTTTATAGCTTTCATGTGTGACTATTTCTTTGTGGTGGTTGAATGAAAACTAGTCACACCTGAAAATATTAGTGTCCATCATATTTTTGCCCCACATAGCGTGGTAAACTCAAGTTAGGGAGTTTTTCAGTTTCTCTGCATCGAAAGTCCCAACGTAGGTCAGAACTCCCGATGGTCGGAAGTCCCGGCACCTATCCCGGAACTTCTGATGTGGATCTGGACCGCGCGGCGTCTTTGACCTAGGGTTAAAATCCCGTTTTCACCTGGCCTGGCCCGTTTTACCATAGTCATCCCCCTTCGTGCACTCTCGTCGCTCCATAGCCGCCCCCTTGCGCCACCTCCTTGCGCCGCCGTCGCGTCGCGCCCTGCCAGGAGCTCCAGCCCGCCCCTTGGCCGCCGGGAGCTCTGGCCCCCATCCCTTCCGGCTATGCCGCTAGGGGTCCCGTTGGCACTCCCGGCCTCTCCACCCCCTCTCCGCCACTCATGCTATGCTCTTCTTCCTCGGCTCGGTGGTGGGAATTCCGTTCGTGGAGGTGCTCGTGCTTGAAGATTTGTTCGTGGCCTGCGGATTTCATTTTCATCCGCCTTCTTCCCCTCTCTCAAGGTACAACCTCCATGGTGCCCTAACCCTAATGTCAATGTACCTTGCGATTTGTCTCTTATTCTTTTTCCCTCTCCTCCTCTATCCTCCTTGTGTGAATGCGTGTCGAGATTTGAAGCCCCATGAATGGGCTAGTCACCATGTGCGTCGGAGGTCCCAGCTCCCGCCGGAAGTCTCGATCGTCGAAACTCCCGGCTCCGGCCAGAACTCCCGGCTGTCGGAACTCCCGACTCCGGTCGGGACTCCCGACCCCATGGTCACCACTCTATTCATGTTTCTTCACTTCTTGATATTCGTTCGCCTCTCGTTGTCTTGTTTCTTAGTTCCACTTCATATCTCTCGCGACCATGGACGGCGGCAGTCCCTCGTGCCACAAGGAGAAGCGGTCTAAGCACAATCAAGACCACGCCACTGCACCCAAGCCGACTGGCCACACCAAGGCGGCTTATCCCCGTGATGGCGCTGGTGGTTCCCGTGCCCAAGCCAAGCGTGCACGTGGTCGTGGTGATCAAGGCTCGGCTGCCGTTTCTCCACCTCCTCCGGCGTGTGCCTTTGCTGGAGATGATCCGATAGTGGATGCTAAAGAAGAAGCTCTCGAGCGAGCAGGCCGCACTATCGTCGCTGAGGTTATGAGTACACCGTCTCAAGGCCCTGGCTTTTTAAGTGAGCTTGTTATTTTTTATGGTCCTCGGCTGGTCATACGCGCTACAAGAGATGTTACCTTCTATGACGGCTCATTTAGGTCACAAACAGAGGATTTTACGTCGCCATAATACGCTCTGTGACGATGCAGTGACGAAAGGTGCGTGTTAAAGCACCTTCCATGATGATTGAGTATATCATCACTGAGTTGGTGACAGCAATATTTTCGTCACCAGCAATAATGACAATCATTATTGTCATTAAAACTGTCATGAAATCTCAACTAGGCAACTACCATGTGTGCCTATGCAGTGACAATATTAACCTTACAATTGAATTCAACAAATGACAGCCATACATTGATTCATAACAGATTTCATAGTCAACACCCATTCAACGTCTTAGAAGCAACAATCTCAACCATACATGCAGCTCATTCATACATCCATCTCAGTCATACATAACAACTTGAAGTGTGAAATAGTCTGCAAGCCAAAGCAATACTAAGTTCATAGTTTGTATTGCAACAGCCACAAGCACACCAAAATGCTACAGAGTTCACCAAAGACTCTTACCAGCTCAAATTCTAGGGATAGATACAAAAGGCATAATTGAACCAACTCGCCTGGATGCATATCTAGATGATGAGGATGCTAACAAATTTTAGGGAGTGACTTGACCCTGATTGAAGTGAAGAATCAGCTGTCGAAGGAGAGCATGAGTTTCTTGTTGTCCCTTCTTCAAGCTGTCAATTTCATGTGCTTGGCTAGCCACCTCTTGCTTAAGTTGTGCAGATTCTTGCTTAAGTTGCGCAGATTCTTGCTCCTTAGCCTCAAGTTGAGCCTGTAGCTCCCACACCTGTGAACTAACTGCACTTCTACTACTTGGCTTGGAGATTGGCAGCCCCACATTTTGAAGAAATGTGCTTGACTTCGGCAGCACCTTGGAAACAATTTCAATAGAAGACATCGACTGCTGGCCTTCTTGCATTGGTTTAACCTCAATTGCTTCCATAGCAGCCTAGCAACAGAATGATACAAAAATTAGTATTGACTTTGGTACAGATTTCTAGCAGTATAGGAAAAATAACCTACAATACTACTTTACATAGACAAAAAAATGACTAAACTTTAGCCAAAATAGCCTCAAACATCGTTTCAAGCATGTATGAAGTTAAACTCAAACAAGAGCTAAAAGCAGTATATGAAGGAAAAGACAGTATACTTGTAGTATATCATATTTGAATTTAGAAGACTATATACACCCAACTTGGGAAATGAATCATGTAACAAAGTAATCATGCAAAAAGTATATCATAACTCTTGCAACGTCATTTCTGACAATAGTAAAAACAGCCCACAATCACTTCCAATCATGAAGTAAAGGCAATAGCTGCAGCCGGTGCTGCGTGCACAGTTCAGATTTGAAAGGTTCAGATTCTATGCATCAGATTTCAATGATTCAGATTATAAGCAGCATGCAGCAACAGCTGCAGCACAAGAAGTGCAGCCGATCAGGCCAAATATTCAAGATCACATTACTTACAATTGCATTTTTGACAGGCTCACAAAAACCACTTTTCTTGCTGCAATGCATCTCCTTGAACAAATCAATTATAGTGGGCTCTGTGTCTTTATATTTTTCTTGTTTCTAAAATGATGAGAAATCAACTTAAACTTGTTAGCTTGAACCAATTTCATGGTTTCTCATTTCAAACAATGTGCAGCAGACTTTATCTATAATTCATGTAAATTAGAAGATCGGCAACAAGATCACATAGCATTAAATTTGTCCTACCATGACATAGGCATGTGCAATGTAACATCGAGAACCTGTATGCTGATGGAACTGGACTTTCGCACGATTAACTTGGTTTTTGACACAAGTGTCCTGTACACCACACAAATTTGTAAGGTAAAGGAAATAAAAACAAGTACTAAAAAGGGACTACAAATGCCATTAAAATATGAACTGTCTAGATATGTACACATTTATCAGCAACATCACCAATGTCATACCTTGTGTTTTGGGTTGGACCACATCTCCACTAATGCTCTCTATTGATCATTAGTCATACACGTCACAGGTGACGTTGTCCTCACTATATTTGCTGGAACTCCATCAAAGTACTTCTTTTTCAGCCTATGCCTCATCTGACGTCCACCCTTTAGCATGTCAACACAAGCAGCTCGTACAGCCACACTATTAGTGTCCATGTCGAATGGGATCTAGTAAAAAAAATAGAGATTAGATTTGAAAACGAAAAGGACACAATGAACTATGATTGAACAAGTCAAATAGATATTGACTTACAGCAACTTTGCCAATGTAGGCTTCAACAAGATGTTTATTATGTTTCTTCTTGTAGTCCTTCCAGTGTGGAAAGATAGGTGTATGCAGCCTGAGTGAGATCCCAGCCTCTGATGCAAGTTTTGCAGCTTGCATTGGTGCCTCCGGCCTTCTATTCCCTTCAGCAATGTCAATTTTAATCTTTGTCCCTAGCCCTCTATTCAACGCATCCAGCTCTTTGCCCATATATTTTCCCGTGGCACCTGTTGTGCACTTGCAAATAATGCACCTAACAAGATTTCATTTGTAGAGTTAGTAGCAAATATATTCCAGATTTACTAAATAAGTATCAATCTGATTTTATTAGCATATCTGAATGTTGATGTGCACCTAACAAGCAATGAAGTCTACAATGAAGCATCATGATAGAAATAAATGAAGCCAGTAACTTTGATCTAGTAACTTGCCTTCATCATTGTTGTTGATGTGCTCCTCATTCTGGCTTGTAGTAGTATTGGTAGATGCCAATGCATCATGTGTGACAATAGCGAGGCTTGGATTGGCAGCAGTCCTTTGCCTAGTAACTCTAGTAGTTTCCCCTTGTTCTTGTGGTGCCACCACTCTCTTTGATGCTTTTCGAACCTCTAGCAGAGAACTTGCCAATATGTTGGACATTCTTGTTACATACATCCTCACCCACCTTAGAAGCCTAGTATGAAGCAAACAAGAAGAATTAGACCCGAAAATAATGGAAGTGTAGTCACCAAAATGATAATGATCAATAACAATCCTTTGTACCATGCTGACTTCATCTTCGTCATGTTGGTTAGAGCCCTCATCATCCTCAGGATTGTACAGAGATCTAGATTTTTCAGGATCATCATCCTTGTTCCTTGCACTTTTACCCTTAACTTGTGCAACTAGGGTACTGAGCCCAAGGCTTTGGAAGAATTGGTCGTTCCTCATAATGTTTTGATCCCTCTGTCTTAAATATTCAAGTGCCATTGCTTCTGTACATTCAATTAAAACAACTGTAAGGGAGTAGTCAGAGCAAAAAATAAAAATGTACGCTGCTGCTAGCAAAATAAAAACGTATGCTGCTAGCAAAAAGTGTATGCGGCTGCTGCTAGCAAAAAGTGTATGCCGCTGCTGCTAGCAAAAAGATCCGGTATTATTTACTATTTCTAGATTACCACTGATTTCCCACACATGTAAATGCTCCTGCAAGTTCTGTGTAGAAGTTCTGAACTTTTAGATAGGCTGTGGATTCACCAAAAAGCTAGTTCAATATTTGCTAATAACTATCAAAGGATATCCTTAGTCGTGGTATTCAGGATTGTTAGGCAACCATCCTTGCAAAGTGGAACTCAGCTTTCCCCTATTTACCAAATTTAATTCTGGTTTTACTACTTTTGAAAATACACATATATAAAGGATTAATAGCTGGATCTTACAGGAAACTACTTAGATTTCTTATGTTTGGAAATCAGCTGAATATCTGTTGACGCATTCCATGCATGCAAATGTACAAGAATTTTCTCCTATAATGTACTAGTATACCGAAAAGGATGAAATGAATTGGAATATAAACCTTGTTGTTGTCTCACTGTTCAATGTTTTGTATATGAAAATTAAGATCGATTGGCTTAAAAAAATAATTAGTTTTCCTAATGTTAAGGGCACTCAAGATTTATTTTGCTTTAAACATTCTCTTCGTATTTTAATAAACATTGAAATCTAGACCATAACAAAATGCATAAACATATTTTTCTTGTATATAGGATGGATCTGGTAAACTAACAAAATCAGTATCAAGCCATATGGATCTACCATTATTTTCCTTTGATTTTTCAAAAACCATGAATAAATGGTACAAACATACATGCTAACTAGCGTCTACTGTTCATCTTCTTGCATACGCATAATAGAAAGAGGAGAAACGAACTCGTCCGTGCAGAGGAACAACAGGGCCGGCGACAGCCATCAACCAGGCCACTCCTCGCTCCAGATGGCCCTCACTCGCTGCCCACTCCCCCAAAAGCTCAAGTCGACGGAGGCGCACGGCCATCGCCCACTCGCTGCCGCTAGACGTGGACTCGTCCACAAGCACAGGAACCAAAAACCTCTCACCCCAAACCCTAAGTTCGAACATCAGAACACAAAAAAAAAACAAATCCCATCGGCACCCCTCAGATCCACTCGTTGTTCCCTTTCCCGGCTCTCAAACTTGAGGAATTGCCTGTGAGCGTCTCAGCTGTCCTATCAGTCTGCACCTTTCTCCCAGGAGGCATCTTGTATTTGGAGCGGAACTCGTCGCCCAGCACTAGGAAGGAAGAGTGGTCGGCTAGGAGAGGGTGTGGTGGCGGCTGGAGCAGGATGGTGGAGCTGGCTTCAGCAAGGAACAAGGGCTGCGGCGAAGGTGGAGGGGGAGTGGTGCCGCAGGCACTGGAAAGGGGAGAGGGTGGCTGCTAGAGGTGCAAGGGAAAGGGGAAGGATGAAATCAGACTGGGATGTCTAGGGTTCCGCTTTTTTATAGGAAGTTTACTATAATACCCTTGATTTAAGTACATGAAAGACTTGTGACAGTGGACAGAAGTGGCAATTGGCCCAAAAAAAGATGGCGGGGGAGGGAGAGGCTGGTGGGAATCATTGGCGGGGAGGCAGGGAGGCAATTTTATTGTTGGTGGGGAGACAGATTTTTTGGTTGACGGTCATTTTTTGCGCCAATTGTTGGCGGGGAGGCCATTTGCAGCTTTTTAAAGAAATATTAGGGTGTTATTTATCATTAAAGTAGAGAGAAGTAAGTATTTAATAATGATATGATAGAATCATGGGTTCAAAAAAGGTGAGAAATTAACATTGCAAAGGACTTTTGTAATATGATAAATTATTTGAGAACAATCTAGCCATCAATTTTTGTTTTTATTCAATGAATAACTATGACACATGAACATTTGTCACATTAATCCGTCATAACCACGATGCCAAAATAGGTAATGACGATTTTGAATTGGACTTAATGACAAGTAAAATACTTTCGTCATTAACCAAGAACGGCACCTGAAAATCGTCATTATCTGAATAATTTAGTGACAAATTGCCCTGTCATCATCATATAATCGTCATAGAAGGTAACATCTCTTGTAGTGACGGGAACCCAGCTCGCTCCTGATCCTGCTGATGGCTTCACACCTCCTCTGCCAGTTGACTACCGTCACATGGTCCGGGACATCAGGTCTATGAGAGGCAGAAATTTGTATGCTGAAGAAGAGAAGGATCTTCGCCTTGAGTACCGTTTCTGGCATCCTTTTCACTTTGATTACTATGAGTCCATTCTCTACAACAAGTTTCTAAAGAAGAGGGAGCCACCGGTCCTTCAGATGAAGGTTATTGATGCTTATTCCCTTGGTCTATTCAAGGAGCCTGAGCTGGAGCAGATGGTTTGTGATATTCGCTCAATGGGGCTATCCTACCTGATGGCGTTTCGGAAGCATTGGAACAATGAGATCATCTGTCAGTTTTATGCTTCCTATCATCATGAAAAAGACCCTAGTGTTGCCATTGACACTATCCATTAGGCCACAGAAGGCAAGCACTACAAGGTTGATTTCGTTACCTTCTCTCGCCTTTTTGGTTTGGATCACACCGACCGTACTGCACCTGAGCTTACTGAGTATGAGGATGTAACTTTGGAGGAGTATCAACACATGTACCTTGATGGATATCCAGCTGATGGACAGACCGTGTATCTAAAGCCCTACTACTATGTTCTGAACCACATCCTGCGATAGATTTTGTATCCGAAGCGTGGTGACTCCACTTTCCTTCGTGATGACTCTCAGAAGGACCTTCAACGCTTTGGTGATGATTTTGAGCAGTTCTCCATCAGTCGATACATTTGGAACAAGATACATGATGCCAGTGAGGATCCTGTGAGACACCTTCCCTATGCCCCCTACATCATGCATGTGATTGAGCAAGTATCAGGCATTCGGTTCCCCCACATTTCTAGCATAAGCTCCTCAAGATCTCCAACAAGACTTCTATCACAGCTACAAGGGTCCTCAAGAAGAAAGTCGATCATGACCCAAGGCAAAGGCAAAGGTCCTTTGGGTTCTCGCTCTCGCCATGGTGCTTCACCACCTGCTGCTTCTCGTGCTTCTAGTACTGAACCACTCTCTTCTTCCTCATTTGGTAAGAAGCCCAACAAGTTCAAGTTCCTTAGGACCTACATGTTTGGACAGTGTTGTGCTAGTGCTCAACGTGAGCATGACATGCAAGACAGGCTCTATCATTTGGAGTAGCAGGCTGGTATTGAGTCTTCTCCTCCACCGCTGCTTGTGCCTCCCCGTGATCCTTTGGCTCTTTTATGATGAGGTGTGTGCGGCGTATGAGGACGATGTTGCTTCTCGCCCTCATGGCAAGAGCAAGGCCACCATGAGAGGACGAGGACTACATCGAGGAAGATTATGACGACGGCACGATGATGGTGGTGATGATGGTGACCATGATGATGATGAGAACTACGAGGACGAGTAGTCGTTTTTTTCCACAATTCCTACCCCTTTTGGCACTTGTTGATAAAGGGGAGTGTTAGGCTTTGATCTATCATGTAATAAGTTAGTTGGTCACTTAGTTTCGAGACTTTAAAACTTCTAGCTTGTATGAACTATGTCATGTCGTGGCTAGTATGTGATGGACAACTATATATGTGTTTGTGATGGATGATTGTAGGACAAGTAATGGTTGTTTATCTATCTATTAGCTTGTGCTTGTCTCTACTTGTGATGATGAATGTTTTATTTTGGATGACCATGTATTGCTTCAAGTTTCTACTTTGAATTCTTGGCCATCACATTCTCTTTTACTTGTGTGAATATAACATGTCATATTGCATCTCTTTTTCATGGATATATATTTGTTCACATACAATTGTTGCACCCCATGGATTGCAAAATTTAGGGAGAGCTTTTATTTTGATGTATGCAAATCGTGTATAGATGATTCTAATTGAAATTCAATTTCATGCCTACATTAAGGGGGAGCTCTTCATAAATTTTGGGTATCAAAAAAACTTTAAATTCTTTCATTCTTATAAAAGCCTAAGTTGGTTGTCATCAATTACCAAAAAAGGGGAGATTGAAAGTGCATTTGCCCCCAATGTGGGTTTTGGTGTATTGATGACATCCAAATTAGGGACTAATGTGATCTTAATGAGATATGTCGCAACAATTAGTCCTATGAAAGATTTAAAGAGTTGATAAAGATGAAATGGTGTCCCTCAATTCTTGAAGTTGAAAAAGGCGTCGAACTCAAAGCGGATCTTCAAGTTTACATTTTATGCTTTTGAGTTTAGGTATGTCGTACTATAAAGAGGGATGCAAACTTAATTGGTCTGAGGAAGATAGAGTGCTCAAGTATAAAATTAAAATCAAAGAGAGACACTCTAGCATTTCACGAGCACGTAGAATAGTTTTTGGTGACTTTTGGTGTTGAAAGTCCTGACATAAGCCGGGACTCCTGACCATCGAAAGTCACGACTCACGCCGGAAGTCCTAACGCCCAATCACTTAGCCTGCGCGGTGACTACGACCATCGAAAGTCCCGACGTAAGTCGAAACTCCCAACAGTCGGAAGTCCCGACCCAAGTCAGGAGTCTCGACACCTAAACTTAGCTGGCTGGCTGACTGTGCCCGTTGGAAGTCCCGACTCAGGTCAGGAGTCTCGACACTTGGCCACCATGTTGCCCTGCAGACCGTGCGCGTCAGAAGTCCCGACGTACGTTGGGAGTCCCAACCGTCGGAAGTCCTGACGTACGCCAGGAGTTCCGACGTTGACGTGTTCGTAATGACTTTGACCTTGCATGAACAGTGTTTCTTTATAGGTCGGAAGTCCCGAGATCTGCGTTGAAACTTCCGACGTAGATTTGAATGGTTGGATTTCTACCTTGAGTATAAATAGCCCTGACCTCTCTTCTAACCGGTAATTACTCATTCATTGCAACCTACTCATGGCCAAAATAGCTCCCAAGCATTCAAGACTCCCCCTCCTCTTCCTTTTGCTCTAATCTTTGATTTCCCTAGGGTTTTGAGTGAAAGAAGAGTGGATTGAGTGAGAGCATCACTTTGGGAAGCTTGAGCGCTCGATTTTTTCGTCAAGCCAATTGCATTTGCGTCTATTACTCTTGGGGCTTTGCCCCTAGCCGGCTAGGCGTCACTCAAGAGCTTCCATCTTGTGAAAGAGCCATAAAAAGTTTGTATTACCCTCGATTTCTTAGTGGAAACCTCGAGTGACCTTTGTGGTTGCTTTGAGAGAGGCAAGGAGGTGAAAGAGACTCCGACCTTTGTGGTCACCTCAACAACGAGGACATAGTAGCTTCTTTGTGGGGTTGTCGAACCTCGAGATAAATCCTTGTGTCCCGCGTGCTTGTTGTTGTTGTTGTGACTTGTGCTATCACTTTTATTCTTGTGTGTCTCTTCCTCCCCAAAGATTTTCTTAGGGTTTGGACTCGATCTACGGAGTGATGATCTTTCGATGTCAAAGGAGCAACCCTAATGTGTTACCTTACCACTAGGAAGTGGGGTTGTAAGTTATCGAAGTCACAAAATTCATTTTAGCACTTGTAGTACATTTCCCGTAGGCGTCGGGACTTCTAACAGTTTGCGCTGGAACTTCTGACGACGTCGGGAGTTCCGACCCAAACTGTCAGGACTTCCGATGGTTGCTGACAAGTGACTTTGAGTTTTGTGTAGAATTTTTTAGATACGCCTATTCACCCCCCCCCCTCTAGGCATTGTTTAGATCCTTTCAGGTAGCACAGAACCCTGAGGATTGGCTCATGTTTTACGACGACGCAAAGTGTAAAAACGGCGCAGGGGCTGGAGTTGTCCTGGTATCACTAGGGGGAGATGCTATGAGGTACGCAATTCAAATTGATTTCACTAACCCAACTCCGACCAACAATATTGCTAAGTATGAAGGACTGTTGACTGGTCTGCGAATTGCCATATCCTTGGGAATCCAAATGCTACTTGTGAAAGGAGATTCAGAAGTAATTGCCCAATAAAC